TTTTGAAAAATGGAATAAAAGACTAGACAAGTGTATTAGTGTAAGTGGAGAGTACTTTGAAGGGGATTGAAGGTTTGTGCTTAAAATTTGAATAAATAAGTTAAAAAAAAATAAGTTCAGTTTCTTTTGGGTACCCCCTCGTAAAGTCTTCAATTCACAAGTTAACTCTTCTTCAAATACAAACTTCCCTTGGCTGTCTCCTACTGAAAACTCAGAACTCAGTCACTTACTAGTTCCAGTTCACTCACTCGTGTGCTTCCGCTGCTACTATTTTTCTCTCTACAATGAACTCAGAACTCTCACTCGCTTATATAGCCGAGGGATGGACATTGACCAACAGTAAACATATCACATGACTCCTACCCACTGTTGCTCTGTGATGTCACCACACATGTGCAAGCTGACAGTCACGCAGGGAACACATGTCACGTGACAGCCACCTACGCTTGATGTGTTATGTTACCACCCCTGCGCCAGCTTGCTTTACTATTGCATGCGTGTTATCATGTTTACAGAGCTGTTGCCTGGCAATGCGTTGATCAAATACGCCACAGTATTATGGCATGTAGACCCATTGGAAGCCAATACCAAGCAATGGCTACTGAAGGTACGACTGTGGACACATGGTGTGTGTGTGTGTGTGTGTGCGTGCGCACGTGCGTGCTTGTAGCTACACACATGATCAAAGAGTCCAGTAAATCCAATTCATCAATCCAAAACCTGTCTATGGTCACATTCATACACATGAAAATATGCAAGTGTTTTCTGTTTACATCATTGGTGTTTTCAACTCTGATCAGGTGATATATCTTGCTACTATCATCTTCATGATGATGATTGTGATGATTTGTTTAATTCAGAATGAACTCAAGTCTGCATGAAATTCAGAATGACATCCAGCGGCTGGCTACACAGCAACATCAGATCCAAGACTTACCACCGCAACACCATCTGCAAGGTTTACTAAACCAACAGCAGCACCAGATTCAGGTGAAAATTAATTATTATGGTGTAGGGGTTTTGCATTGAAAGAGGTACAGATTCAGGGATGTGAAGACAGAAGCTGGGGGTTGTGAGCGAGACTTTGCGAAGTATTAGTCCTTAAAGTATTACACTTCATTCAAGATGTGGACTGTTATGGGGCCAGCTGGAAGGAGACACACAGCAGATGGCAAACAGTTGCATTGTAAGGACCAGTTTGATCTGCTTATTTGTTCATTCATTCACTCAAATAGCAGTCCTGCAAAGGGCCAGAGTTATTTTTAAGTGCGAAAACATGTTTTTTTTTTAATTTGGGAAAAGAGGTGAGAGGAATTTCTGAGAAGGAACTACAAAGGGGGAAGATTATATGGTACACAATCTCCCATTGGCTCACTCCCAGTTCTGGTTTCTGTCTTCCTATCTCTTTGTCTGTATCATTGTGTTCCATGCAGCTACTCTTCTTCCCAGAAGATGGAGGTAACAGGTTCTTCTGAAACTTTGTTACTTATTTACCCAGCTACAGGATGTCACATCCCAAAAGACCATCATCTTCATATTCAGTGCTCTAAGAACCCCATGTCTTAGAATACCTGGTCCCATGAAATGCTTCAGTCTGTTGAGAGGCTTGCAAGAATTTTAAACTAATAATTATACAATTTAATAATTCGTTCACTCATGACTCACTCACTCACTCACTCACTCACTCACGGACCTCAGCCCTCTTTGAGAAGCTGCCAATTGTGCAGGTACTCAAAACTTCCCAGCATATTATGGAACCTGAAGGTTCATTACTGTGTTCACAAGATCCCTCCACTGGTCCCTATCCTGAGCCAGGTCAAACCAATCCACATTTAATAATCCATTTCTGTTCATACTTTCTCTTGATACAGATGCCAACTATTTAATTTGTAAGATTTAATCTGAAAGTCTTCACTATCATAATGCATGTAATTGTTAACATATAAGAAATAGCTTATGCAGAATTTGTAGGTTTGTTCTTTCTCCATACATATTTTGTATTCCTAGCTTCATTGTATAATCAGTTACTGCTCTCAAACCAGAAGCTAAATATAGATTGTGTATAGCTACATTCCACAGAAATTGCCAAAACAGATGTTTCATGTTGTTGAAAAATATATTATAACACAAAATTTCATGTCCTAACAGTAAATTTCAAAGTATAAGTGCCACGTAAAGGTTACCTTGGTCACCATGTTCATTATTTTGATGGCAGAAAATTGAAATTCGTGCTGGATGCAAAATTTCCATGTGCATTTTTGCACCTTAACACTCTAAAAGCTCTCAGCCTATATAGTTCGTTCTTTGGTATTAATCTGTATGAAAGTCGATGTGGCCCCAGATGTCTGTGCAAGAACATCTGGTGTGAGATATCTTAAGAATCTGTTGGCACTTCTCTAATTGGAATGTGTTGATGTTTTCATTTAGTACTTAATTCCTGTTGTAGTCACATTTTATTATGTTTAGTGACTGTGTTGTCTGTGTTTTATATTATGTTATTTTCACTTGTTCCAGTGATTGGTTGGAACATTTGTTTTGATTTTTGACGCATTCTGTATCCAGTGGTGTGACAACTTGTTTCTCTCCCTGTAATTGGGTCTACTTGAATATAAGAATAAATTAAATTAAATGAACAGATATGTATGTGTTCATTTTGTGCATGTCATACGAAGGATACTTAATAAGGAAAGAAGGCTGAAACGATATATTTGTTAAATATGTATTAAGATTGTTGTTCTGTACCTGAACCATACAGGACTTGTCTGGCCAACAACTGCAGAGTCTTGCAGCACAGCAGCAGGTACAGAGCTTAGCATTCCAACAGCAGATGCAAGGATTTGATGGGCAAACCCAGTTTTATCTTCATGATCAACAACCACAAGCACACAGGCGCACATGGGTTCAGCATGCACCTTCTCCTCCACAGTACCCAACACACCAAGCACAGCAGGATGTCAGGATGTTTTGGGGTGATTCACAGTCTCCAAGGTAAGGATGAGGGTTTTACAGGGATTGTGAGCACTTGACAAAGCCACTCAGACAAAGCACTTGACAAAGCCATCCTAAATCTGGATGCTGTGTGTCTGTAATGCTGACCTTGATCTGAACTTCACCTCCATTTGCATCTTAAATACATTCACGTTTTTTTAAATATATCAAGAGTCATTGACAGTGGAATCTTGTACACTTAGCAGTCTCACGCTTAGATTTACCTGTTTTATCTGCTGTGTCAGTTGAAGTTTTGTGTTAGTTGTTAGTTTATTTTACTTTGTTCTCAATGCCNGTACATTCACATTTTTTTAAATACCATATTTACGCATGTATAGGCCGCACATTTTTTGCCAAAAATTCAAGAGGAAAACTGGGGTGCGGCTTATATTCGAAATATTCAAAATCACACTTCATTTAAAAAAAATTAAATTCATAATTGTCGATTTTGTGACGTTTTTTCAAGGGCATCTTTCGTTAGTATCCATCTTCACACATTTTTTTCGTCAACGTCGAATTTTCTCNGCTTCACAGCAATATGAAGGTAGAGGTATGTCAGAATATGCCAGGATGAAGTAAATGCAATGTCACAGCGCTCGTTACTTTCTCACTTCACCTCCTTATGTTGCTGTGCAACTTGAGTAAAGTTAGAGGGCTCTGCTGAAATTTCCCACAAAACCATTAATCAGGAGAAGACTTCATGACCACTCTGTACATTATTTAAATGCCCTTTGGTATCATATGACCAACATGATCTGCTTGGAGGCGTCAGGATTACTCAGTTGGTATAATGACCGGCTATTGGCTCCTTGCTATTATCAAGCATTGCAACATATCATTTTTTATCCATTTGATTTGGGCCGCACCATAGCTCAAGTGGTTAGCCGTTGGCTTCCCACTGTGGTGCCCCAGGTTCGATCCCGTGTCTGGTCAAGTGGGATTTGTGGTGGACAAAGTGGCGCTGGGGTAGGTTTTCTCCAAGTACCTCGGTTCCCCCTGCCAATCTTCATTTCACCAGTTGCTCCACAATCACCCTCACCTATCATCTGGAGCTGGTACAATAGGCCAGAAGTGGCCACATTACAAGGGACTTAGTCCCACCCCACTAGCAATAAAAAAAATCCATTTAATTTTCTCTCACAGTGGGCTGGATATAATGTGACATCTGTTTTCATTGCAGGCAACAAATGCTGATACAGAATTCTCAGCCTTCTTCCTATAACTGTCAACAACAGAGTGGCTTTGTACTTCATGAAGGCAGGCCTGGAGGTCATCCAGTAGGTGGAGATGCTCGATACCACAATGGTGATCACCACGGCCTGCACCATAGTCTAGGTGTAAACCATATGATATATCCTTCATCAGGCAATGGAGGCATGCCACAACATGCATCATTCCAACTTCACTCTGAAGCTGGTGCATATGGTTCGCGTAGCACTGGCCCTACTCCTCCTCCTGCTTCCCCACAGCACCGAAGTTCCGCAGTACATCGGTAAGTTGCAGCTGAGGATCTCAGGAAAGAAATGATAGCTTTTACATTCATGTTTTAACATTTTTTGAACTGCATATGTTATATGTGCTGTGGGGGAATGTTTGTGAATGACAAATTGAGAGGGATATGAAAGAAGTAATGACCTGTTTAAACTCTTTAGTACTCCATTTTTTTTAATATAGGTTACATTAGAAACAGTGAAACATTTTAAAAGTTTAATTATGCATTTCGCTGCTATAATATGACAGCAGCTTTTCCCAGCCTATTGCCAATTGCATCAGTCTGCCATGTGACCCAATGCTGTGAACATTCATTGTTTTGACATGAGTGCTTTTACAACTTCGCGTTTCATTATGTGTGCGATGGATGGAAAAATTGAGCAACATGTCTGCATCAAGTTTAGCGTGAAGCTCGTTAAATCTGCTACCGAAACCCTTGAAATGCTTTGTGAGGCTTTTGGAGAACATTCTTTAAGCTGGACAGTAGTTTTTGAATGACATTCACATTTTAAGGCCAGTCTAGTGTAAGTTGAAAATTGTAACATTCAGAGCGACCAAATACCAACAAAACGACAGAAATTTTTTAAAAATTCCAGAACTCGTCGATGAAGACTCGCCAAACAAGTCATGAGCTTACAGACACCATTGGGATCAGTTGTAGAGTTTGCCAAGAAACCTTACCAGAAAATTTTAACATACACTGCATAGCCATGAAATTTGTTCCCTGACTCTTGACACGTGATCAAAAGCAGCAGCATGTGAACGCGTGTCTTGAGCTACAAGGGAAGACTAACGAAGACCCAACTTTTACTTATATCTCTGTGATCATAAAGGGTGATGAAAGGTGGATTTATGGTTATGATCCAGAAGCAACAGATGTTGCAGTGGAAGAGCCCACAATTACCAAGAGCAAGAAAAGGCATGGCAGGTCCGGAGTTCAGTGAAGAGCATGTTCATTGTCCCACCATGACGGGGGTTTGTTCACTGTGAATTTGTTCCTTCTAACACTCCGGTCAACTCTGACTTTAGTGTGACATTTTGAGAGAAAATATGTGATGAAAAAGAATGGAACTTTGGCGCCACCACAACCGCTCCTTCATCATGACAACATGCCTGCCCACACGTCCCTGAAAACCACAGAGTTTGTGACTAACAACAAGGTTATCATTCCCCATCCTCTCTTCTTGCCAGGCGTAGCCCCCTGTGATTTTACTTTGTTTCCCAAATTGAAAATGAAACTGAAGGGACGACATTTTGAAACAGTATCTGACTTCCAAAGGGAATCACAAGCAGTACTCGACAGCATTAAGAAAAATGACTTCCACGGTGCTTTTGAAGCATGGGAAAAATGATGGGATCGCTGTATATGTTCTCAAGGAGACTATTTTGAAGGAGATAGCAGCGAAATTTGAGTAAGTTAAGCCAGCATTTTTCTTTTTGCCTAGTCCGGGAACTTTCCGATGCACCTTTTGTATATTGTGAAAGAATACCTAACTTGCCAGTGATTAAATGAAATTGATCCCTCCTCAGATCAAATAGACAGAATTGACATAGGCAAGATGATGTGCTCTGTCATGTTACCTAAAGAGATGTAAAGGATATTTCACTTTTGGGACTGTGTATAATTTGTCAGAACTACAAATATTATTTTGAATTTCACTTGTTTTGTAATAAACACATAGTATGTGGAACATGTTACTGCTGATGATGTCAAATATAATTTGAGACTCAGCCCCCTCAGTTCTGTTACAACCTTCCACAATGTAATTCACACACTTCCTTTTCCAAAAATTTGTCATTAATGACTTAACGCAAAGCTGCATGGAACTGATTGCTAACAAAAGATAGATTTTTCATTTACACTCCTCATGTTGTCTTTATATTTTGATATGTTCTGAAACACAGGTACTGAAATTGCTGTATAGTTAATTAGTTTTGAACAGTACAAAACATAAAATCCGCAGAGTAGTTCTACATTTTCAGGTGTTATTTCAAATTACATGCCCATTACACCTATTTTATACTGCACAGCTTGTTGTCTGTCACAGTCACAACTGCAAGTTCATGTTTCAGGTCACGTGACTTGAAGCAAATGACAATGAATGATACTGCTCAAACAGTACCAAATACACATTCATGTTGTCACATGTTAATGACTAGACATGGGGTTCAGATTGATTACTGAAATTACTGAACGCTTATCACACATAACAACAAATAATTACATCACTTTCACTAATCTGCACACTCTCACACTCTACAGAGAAGTAAAGAAAGCATGCTCTAAGTTGTCTAGGTATGCTGTTTCTTCGCTAGTCGTTGCTTGGTAGTGGCTTCTAACATTTGAGTTTCCTGTCCTTCCATGAACTAACCACAGACTGCAGTGACTGTTGCCGACTCATGACTTCCTGTCTTGTCTCTCTGTCTGGTAAATTGCCTAACAGTGGCCATCCCTTCTGGCTCCACTGTTTGAGCTTTCAGATGTCATCAGTATTGTCACTCACACTTAGGGTTGGAATGTGTGAAGTGTATGGGAAATTATTCATTTTTCTTAATTCTGCATTGAATAATGGGTAATAATAATGATATACATAATTATACAATGAAATTCCTGCTTAAGGTTTCTTTGGGGAGCAGTGGATTTGAATACAGAACTGAGTAAAATCTTAAATGGAATGGGGTCAGTGAAATTGAATGTTATGTGGAAGCAGACCTTGAATTGATGAACATCAAGTAGGAGTTCCAATGTGATGGTATTTTTCACATGAAGAGTTTTATTTTATTGAACGTATTGGCTCCTTGTAGGATTAGTCAGTTAATGGGAGAGTCACCAGAAGTAAAACGAGGCATGCAGCATCACAGCATGGAACCGCAGCAGTCACAGATTGAAATAACACCAGAGAAGAGCAGAAGTCCTGGAGTAATGCACGCCCCTGTTCCAACACCACCAGTGGACGATATGGAACCTCAGAGTATATCTTTTATAGGTGAGTAGTGGTTCATATAACTGGGTAGTGCTTAATGTTTACTGGCTGTGCATTACCATATTGTAATGGCATGTGCACACAGTCCAGCAGGTCAGGAATTGCATTTTTTTTTCTGTATTATTACTTTTACCCAAGATTTAAAATCTTACATTGGGCTGCATTGTACCAGGGGATCCCTTTTCCCATATTATCACATGTGACTAAACATGGGGTTTGTATTGGTAATTTCATTTACTGAAGCATATAAGTTGTAACAGCAAATAACTATAACAGTCCTGATTTATTTACTCTATAGGCCACTCACTACAACTACAGCACACATGAAGTCTTCTGTGTCTTCAGTAGTTGTCCTTTAGTAGTGGCATCTAACAGTCCAACTCAAGATGGAACCATTGACCTTGACCTCCAACTCATGATTGATTACTTTTGATTTATGTCTCTCACTAACCACCAACTGTCAGCTCTCACCTACATTGCTTGCCCTGTTGGTCCTCATTATATAGCCTTGGCATGGACTGCATAGAGAACACCACTTCCAACAGTTCCTCTGTTGTTGTGTGACATGTTAAGTGGATCATTGCTTAGCAATGGCCTGCGTGTCTGTTGGTGGAGGAGCATGTTTACTGGCTGTTAAGTGGCAGTAGCCATCTCATTTATCTTGCTGTTCCAGCTTTCAGCCATTATGTCACAATATCATGTTGGTTTCAGCAGTTCTCATGCTTTCTACTAATACTGTTATATAAAGACACTGTCAGTAGCAAGACTTTATAGCATTGGTGATAGGATGGTTAATGAAAGTGGAGAAATTGATGGAATGAGAATTGGCAGGGGAAGCTAAAGTAGTCAGAGAAAACATCACATGCCCTGACCTAGGATTGAATAGAGGCTTCTGTAGTAGAAAGCTGACAGGTAACCACCTGAGGTATGTTAGGTAGTTAAAAGGTACAGGTGACATTGAGTGATGTGATGTTAATGAATACGTAATGCAATCCCCAGGTACTCAGTCGGACTGTTAAGTCACTAATGGTGAAGCTCAGCAAGAAGTGAATTCAGTGAATTCTTATACAGTTGTTCTTCACATTAACGAATGCTTACATTTTATTTTGATATACAAACTAACCCTCTTCTAAAGCGGCCTTTGTAGTCTAGAGGTAACGTTCCCACCTCATGACTCATAGTACGCGGGTTCAAATACCCGGCGGAGGTCGTCGAATTTTTAAGGGCGGAAAAATTCAGGGAACAAGTCCTCCAGGAGGGACTTTAAGCCGTGGGTCCCGTGTCGTAGCTTTACAGCACATAAAAGAACCTCATACCTCCAAAGGAGGTCACTGAGCAAAATTGCGGATGTTTGCCGCCCGACAGCAGTCACTAATACCTCCGGTAGATGGGGGAAGCATTATAGATACTTCTCAGCCAGTAGAGCCGGTCTCGCTGGCTGGGCATGACTGATGGTAAGCACCAATACCGGTAGGATATAGAGGCTGGTGGAAATCATAGAGGGAAGCACAATGGACCACTACAGGTCTAAGTGCATGGGGAAACCCACCTTTTCTAATAACTAACTAACCCTCTTCTAAAACAGAAAATCTTATGTAACAGTCTTTCAGTATTATATTTATTTATGTTTTGAGGTTTTTGTAATGGTGAAGATTCAGATTGGTGTCTTCTGGGTTATGACACCATATAGTCTGGTAGGTGAGTACCAGTATTTTGGCAGAACATATTGCCTACATCTTTGTGGTTAAAGTTTGCTGGGTTGCTGAAGTGGCTGGTTATACAGAAGAAAGGAGTGAGGATATGTCACTTCTGTCAGAACCTGAACTCTCACATTTTGCTATACATATTCTGAGTTGGTGTCCTTGAGCTGCCTGTGTCAAACCCAGGTACAGCTGGCTACCTCTCAGCATGTGCAAGTTTGAAAAACGCAGTTTCATTTTAATTCTCTCAATTAATTTAGACTGATTTGAATTAGTAGCACATGCTTTAATGCAGACTTCTTGCTGCCAATCAAGAGAGGCAGGGAAAAGGTGGTGGAGGAGGAGGGAGAATGTGCCCTAAGTGATTAGCGTTATGGAGTTTCACTCTCTGCAAATTTTGTTTCCTAACAACTCTCACATAGATTTATATCTCATTGGAAACTGTACTTTTTAGCTTAGGTGAACTCTCTATTTCATGCAGGACCAGAATTCTTGCCACAGAAAAAGCTGTGAGGCATAAAAAAAGTAAAGCTATCCCTGTACCAGGCTGTGAAGGCCCATAGGGTTGTGAGATGTTGAGGGTCCCACACTTTCTAGACAATCGGCTCAAAGATGGCGGTAAGGTTGTCAGCCTTATGCGCTGGCCACGCTTTACTCCGCAGGAAAATTATTTAATTAATTCCTGGTACTCATTTCTGTTAGAGGCTGAGTAAACCCCAGGGCCTAGTATGGCTGGAAGGATTAGGTCAACAGAAAAAAAACACTGACCTCATTGGGACTTGAACCCGTGACCTTCCAGCTTGTAGTATAGCCCCTAAACCATTTATGCTACCGTGTGCCCCGAAGCTGTGAGGCATAGAGATCTAAAACTTAGCATTTTCACCTACATCAATAGAGTCTACAGTCTTATGAAATGTTGTTAAAATAAAGGGGACCACATTGAGATTTGTAATTCTGTGCTTTCATTTGTCACAGAATGATTCAACATCCACTTGGAGGTCATGTGAACAGTTTCATTTAGCTGTCCCTTTGATAGTATTGATTAATGAGCCAGTAGAGCTGGGAATATAAAATTTGTCGTGAAGATAGTTTATAAATGTTCTGAAAAATTGTGTATCAAATACTCTTTTATGAGTCAGCAGTTGCAAACATGGGGCAGCATGAACCTTTTTGAAGTTATTTCTCCCAAGTTTATTGTAATCAGAAATGTTAACTTGTGTAATATTTCATTGTATGCCCCTTTGCTCACATGCTCAACATATCAGTCCATCAACTAAATTGAATACTGTTGCGTTACTTAGATTTCCTCATGTAATATTAACAACACAGTGTTGAAGTGTGTACTGTAGGACAGTAGTACTTTGTGAGTTTTGCCTTGAACTTTTTGTATTTTCTCTACAGATGTTGCTTCCTTATTTCCAGGTGCACCTACGGGAGATGATCAGAGTAGTAGTTTAGCTCAGGGCATCAAAGGTTTGCAAATCACATCTGGTAGTCGAACATACAGAATACCATCACCCACACGGCCCTCTTTATCTCGAAACTCATTCCAGCAGCAGGAATCAGATGATGCAGCCAGCATGCCTTCTGCCTATGAAATGGATCAGAGTGGAGATGCAAGCACAGAGAAAGGGTTCTATATATCTTTTGATAGTGATGTGGCTCCTAAAAGACCGAAGCCTCCTCTCAGGGTTAAGAGGTCATCTCCCAAAAAGGTATGTGTTAATGATTTAGGTAGAGTTACAGTAGAAAGATGTTCTAAATTAATGAATACAGGATTGAAGTTTTTTTTGCACATTCTTAGCAGAAGGAAGTTTGTGCTTTCTGTGGCTGTCACAGTTAGTGTTGGGAGCATAAAAAATTGCTCTTTGCATCGTGTCAGATTTGCCATGCCATAGCTCAAGTGGTTAGTTGCTGGCTTCCCACGGAGGTAAATTCTGGTATTTCATTTTGTTTTGTACCTATCTTGTAATCACTTTGCAAGTGTTTTTGGTACCTATATCTGTATTCACTCTCCAGTTTTATATTTTTTTTCATGATTGCACAAACTTTATAAATGAAGCTACATAAAAATTTTTAAAATCTATGATTTCTATGGCTTCTCAGGAACAACCGTCCTTTTTGGAGGCTTAATCTTATTAACAGTTAAATCATGAATGAACTTTACTATCCTCATAAAAGGCTATAGCTCAACTGTGATACAGCCTTGATCAGTGCAAGTTTCAATGCAAATTGTGGTTAATATGGAGGTAGAAATGAGCATCATGCAAGAGATCTACTTACCGTTACAGTCCAATGAGAAGTCTTTACATTACAACAGTTTCTGACATATACATGTTTGTTATTCTTTCACCATCTTCTTATGGTAGTTTGCTATAATCTTATATTGAGGCAGTATTTGTTTTTATTGCCATAGGAGAGACCAGTATCACAATTTGAAAATCAGCGAGCTGTTGAATATGAAGAGTCAAGACCTAATTTGGAACCCCGTCTGAGAGAAGCAGAGACTGTGGAACAGCATAATAATGAAGTGGAGACATCTGCAGCTCAAGGCGTGGGACTTGTCATTGGTAGTGAACTAGTGAATCCTGATCCTGTGAGTAACACTATTTATATTTGAGTTGTAAAACTGTGGAAGGCATGTCCATTGGTTGAATGTATGAATCATGTAGACTGTTGACAGGATTCTGTGAATTAGCCTGTACCTGCAGAGGATACACTAGAAGCACAGCAAAATTAAGAAATGCTTCTATACCCTGTGTGGAATTTGAGCAGTCTAAGACTATGCATGTTATAGCACACTGCCACTATGATTAGCGCTGAAAATTATTGGGTGAATTTCATTTTGGTTCAGTGGTCCAGTTTAACCCTTACTTTGTTTGAAATTTAGACACTTTCAGAATATTTTAATTTTACAAAAAAAAAGGGCAATGAATAATATATTGTAACGTGTTTACGTTACCAAAGACGCCGTAGAGATGGTTAATTGGGTTTATTTAACAATCTACCAATAACGGCTACAATTAATTATCACAATATCACGGGTCTCCACACTTTACAAACCCTACAACAAAGTCTCTTAACACTGTCTTCACTTGTCTTCACGTACTAATAACGTGGGAGCTATACAAGTCTCCCTGAAATACACACTCCGAGTATAAATGTACTACAGCAATCACTATGTCTGGAAAGCACACAATAAGTCTTCCGCTCGCTGACTTCTTAGTTATCGCACACTCGCAGGCTGCTATGTTTCAACTGA